TCATGGACCCACACACCTCCACTTCCTCATGGACCCACACACCTCCACTTCCTCATGGACCAACAGCATCTCCACTTCCTCATGGACCCACACCCCTCCACTTCCTCATGGACCCACACACCTCCACTTCCTCATGGACCAACAGCATCTCCACTTCCTCAGGACCCACACACCTCCACTTCCTCATGGACCCACACACCTCCACTTCCTCAGGACCCACACACCTCCACTTCCTCATGGACCCACAGCACCTCCACTTCCTCATGGACCCACAGCACCTCCACTTCCTCAGGACCCACACACCTCCACTTCCTCATGGACCCACACACCTCCACTTCCTCATGGACCCACACACCTCCACTTCCTCATGGACCCACACACCTCCACTTCCTCATGGACCCACACCCCTTCACTTCCTCATGGACCCACACACCTCCACTTCCTCATGGATCCACACACCTCCACTTCCTCATGGACCCACACACCTCCACTTCCTCATGGACCAACAGCATCTCCACTTCCTCAGGACCCACACACCTCCACTTCCTCATGGACCCACACACCTCCACTTCCTCAGGACCCACACACCTCCACTTCCTCATGGACCCACACACCTACACTTCCTCATGGACCCACACACCTCCACTTCCTCATGGACCCACACCCCTTCACTTCCTCATGGACCCACACACCTCCACTTCCTCATGGATCCACACCCCTCCACTTCCTCATGGACCCACACACCTCCACTTCCTCATGGACCAACAGCATCTCCACTTCCTCAGGACCCACACACCTCCACTTCCTCATGGACCCACACACCTCCACTTCATCATGGACCCACACACCTCCACTTCCTCATGGACCCACAGCACCTCCACTTCCTCATGGACCCACACACCTCCACTTCCTCATGGACCCACAGCACCTCCACTTCCTCATGGACCCACACACCTCCACTTCCTCATGGACCAACAGCACCTCCACTTCCTCAGGACCCACACACCTCCACTTCCTCATGGACCCACACACCTCCACTTCCTCATGGACCCACACACCTCCACTTCCTCATGGACCAACAGCATCTCCACTTCCTCATGGACCCACACACCTCCACTTCCTCAGGACCCACACACCTCCACTTCCTCATGGACCCACACACCTCCACTTCCTCATGGACCCACACACCTCCACTTCCTCATGGACCCACACACCTCCACTTGCTCATGGACCCACACACCTTCACTTCCTCATGGACCCACACACCTCCACTTCCTCATGGATCCACACACCTCCACTTCCTCATGGACCCACACACCTCCACTTCCTCATGGACCCACACACCTCCACTTCCTCATGGACCCACACCCCTCCACTTCCTCATGGACCCACACACCTCCACTTCCTCATGGATCCACACACCTCCACTTCCTCATGGACCCACACACCTCCACTTCCTCATGGACCCACACACCTCCACTTCCTCATGGATCCACACACCTCCACTTCCTCATGGACCAACAGCATCTCCACTTCCTCAGGACCCACACACCTCCACTTCCTCATGGACCCACACACCTCCACTTCCTCATGGACCCTCACACCTCCACTTCCTCATGGACCCACACACCTCCACTTCCTCATGGATCCACACACCTCCACTTCCTCATGGGCCCACACACCTCCACTTCCTCATGGACCCACACACCTCCACTTCCTCATGGACCCACACACCTCCACTCCACTTCCTCATGGACCCACACACCTCCACTTCCTCATGGATCCACACACCTCCACTTCCTCATGGACCCACACACCTCCACTTCCTCATGGACCCACACCCCTCCACTTCCTCATGGACCCACACACCTCCACTTCCTCATGGACCCACACACCTCCACTTCCTCATGGACCCACACACCTATACAAGGCTCCACAGTTTCTGTTGTGTAACCTTGAAGTCGCCAATAGTTATGCCGGCCTCTGACTATACTTAATAACATGTGATCGTCTATTCTCTGAAACTATCCGTAAGTTATTAGTACCCACACAGGTCACTCAAACATGGTAACTCTTCACTTGAAATTACTTATTTCAGGGAAAAATATGAATACACAAATTTTCTAAATATAGTAGCTAAAAAAAATTAGACAGTGTATTTATCTGCCATACAAGTTCAACATCTAGTCATACACTTTCTCCTGCGCAGTATAACAGACTACATAAATGCTTCCTTCCAAATTCCCAAAGTTACTGAACACAACACACTGAAGGCTGTCCCGGAAATAAACTTTTGTCCAATAGTTGAGCTTTTGGTTCATCACAAAAAACATTTTTCTAATTAGTCATAAATGTTAGAAAGGCTACTCGATGTGTGTAATAAATAACCTCCAAAGAATATATATTTTTGTCAATTACTATAATAATGAAGTTGCCAAAATTTAAATGTACTGTCTGAATTTTAAATTTAGATCATCCAAGCACTGATTCAAAATCATCTTTGTCTCCTAATAATGATAGTACCTATTTCTTCTTATCTCAGGAGCTAGATGATAAAAATTAAGAGATCTTTAAAAATGATTTTTTTAAAAGACCCATAATGATTCCAAAATTTCAGACATGGAAACTTATGACAAGACACTTTGTAATATTTACTGCTGCCTTTTTCTCATAACTGTCTGTGGCTTTTCTAAACATCACTGCCCAGTCATGTTGCTGCAACAAACAGAGGAATGACATTGAGCTACAGGCCTCCCAGGGCCCCCTCTGCCCCTCCCCTCCTCACCCAGGCTCAAGGCTCTGCTGTCGGCTCTGCAGCAGCCGCACAGCCCTGGGAAAGCCCTGGGAAAGCCCTGGGACACGGAGACGAAGGCTCGGGGGCTCCACTCGAGGAGCCCTCTCTGTCTGATTCTGAACTCGGTACAATTCAGGGCCCACATGTTCTCCCTTCTCCACTGGAATGAGGACCAGAAAGAAACTTCTTGTCAGTCAGCACAGTCATCAACAGGCAAATTTCTGAACTTGCTCTGACTAGTAAAAAGAAAACTGATTAAAAAGGGAAAAAAGCCCTAACCGGTATGGCTCAGTGGATAGAGTGTCAGCCTGTGCACCGAAGGGTCCCAGGTTCAATTCCGGTCAAGGACATGCACTTTCGTTGCGGGCACACCCCCAGTAGGGAGTGTGAAGGAGGCAGCTGAATCAATGTTTCTAACTCTCTATCTCTCTCCCTTCCTCTCTGTAAAAAATCAATAAAATATATATTTTTTAAAAAGGGAAAAAAATCCCAGTACTGGCTAAAATAACAGACTTATTTCAACTGTGTTATACAGGCATATCAATCAAGATATTCTGGGGGAAAATATAATTCCCCTCACAGTGTCTTTCACTTTCCATTTCATTGGCATTATTGTATTCCACCCTCCACATTGTCCTTCCACCTCGGCTGAGAAACTATTAAAGATGATTTCTATGGGAAAGGAAAATAAATAATTGCTCCTATCAGTTAAAACGGAAAATTACACCCAGCGTCAGGCTCTTATCACAAATGAGGTTCTCGTTATGACATAAGTGTTTTTCCATTTTTCATTTTTGGTAATTTTTCATTTCACAAACTTCTCCAACCCCACAAATCACCGGGGGGGGGGGGGGGCTTGTTGAAAGTGCATATTCACCTGCTGCTTTGAACTTTATCAGAATGTTCAGGGGAAAGACAGGACCTCTATTCTTTTAGGTAATTTTTATGAGAAGTTTGAAGAACACTGATCTTGGGACTATGTTTATCTTAGGAAGTAGTATATGGATTAAAAGTACTGTGAACTGCCTGGCCCACGTGGCTCAGTGGTTGAGCATCATCCTATGAGCCAGGAGGTAACAAGGGTTCGATTCCCGGCCGGGGCACATGCCTGAGTTGCGGGCTTGATCCCAAATGGGCATGCAGAAGGCAGCAAATCAGTGATTCTCTCTCATCATTGATGTTTCTATCTCTCCCTCCCTTCATAAATAAAGTACCGTGAACTACACATAACAAACATAAAATCCAGTTTGCTCTGCAGGTTGCCTTTTAGAGTCCTAAATAATATATGAAAGTAAACAAGCACCCCTAATTGTTAAACCATCATCCTGAGGGTTGATGTGTCTAAGCCACTATCTTAAGCAGACGAGGTAATTCTAAATTCCAACTGTGTGAAACATTATCATGCTTTCTCTCTAGAGACTTTGTAAAAGGATGATCTTGTCTAGCATGTGCTAGTCAAAGACCACACACCCTCGACGGCCATGTCTAACATCCAAAGGCCAATGCGCAATCAGGGAGGCCTTCTAGAGAACAGCACAGAACCAAACCAAGAGGATCTGGACCCGGGCACTCTTGCCACCGTGCTATGTCCTTGTGTGGAGCAGAGGACGCAGCACGCAGAGGCACTGACTACATGCCTGGGGAGTGAATGAACGAAAACATATGAATGACTGGGGTACGCTCAGTGATACAAATAAAAATGGCATGGTGTCACATCACTGGGGGATAGAAATGCATTTTTAACAATTTCTATAAATTACCTGGTAGAAAACCTTTACCCGTCTTTAACCTGAATAATTGACACAAATTTATTTTCAAAACAGGAAAGCAAATCCTGAAGGCCCACAAAAGCACAAAAGTAAAGAGAAGGACACAAAAGGAAACACAAGGTGAGGAAATGCTTCAGGATCACAAGCTCTGAGACGGCAGCTGGGGACAGCAGCACACAGTGTCACGCACCTCCTCCCCAGTGTGCGCTCAGAGCTGAAACCACGAACAGCATACTCAAGTGCTCATTCACGAGAACCACCGAACAAGAAGGGGGAACTCAGGTAGAGGGGAGGCAGGAACCAGTGGAGACAATGAGGAGGGCAGGGAGCAGCGTGCAGTCGCATGCAGGGACCTCAGTGAGACGGGGCAGGAGACATTCGTGAGCACAGGGCCGTGGAAGGGAGACACACCTCCGTCACAGAAACAAACCGCTTACCCTCCGCTTTAGTGGCAGTACCATCTTTAAGCAAATTAAAAAACAAGGGGAGGGGTAACAGGGAACAGTTAGTAACATTTAAAAACTTAAAAAGCAGAATGTTATTAGCTACTAAAAAAGCAAAGGTACAATTTAAAATAAAATTAAAAAGGAAACAAGTTCAACAGCGAAGCAGAGTCCGAAGCAAGTAAAGTGGCTTATCTTGAAATCAGTTTAGTTAGAATCATGTGCTTTTTGCCTTTGGAAAACACAAAAAAGGGCATCCAGGGCAGGTCTCAGTGGATAGTGATTGCTGTTTTTCTTTCAGCCAAACCTTACGTTCTTAAGAGTTCCATTTTCAAGGAACAAGGTACCAGCAGAAGAGGTTGGGGAGGACATGGGGCTAAAAACTAAACTACTAAAGAGTCAACTAAGGGCAGCGGCGAGGAAGCTCAGAGAAGCTAGCTCCAGCAATGCCCACCCGGCTACTCGCCAGCAGCCAAGCTGCACGTGGTACCTGAACCAAGGCCCACGGACTCCACATCGTCCCTCGTGCGTCTGGGCTCTAGAAGTTTGGAAAAGGACCGTCAGCGGTAATGCTACGCTTCCGCACAGGTGTAACTGTCAGCCTAAGGGTAACGGTAACAACTCCTCAGAAGGGCAGGTTGCATTTCAGGGTGGCTGTGTTTGCTGTCGTTTTGAACATAAGGAAAGTTAGAGAGGGTCAGGAAAAGGGGAGAGAATGAGAAGACTCCAGTCTTAGCACTGGAAGAGGGAACACTGGGCTGAAAAGTTATCAGTGCTTCCAAAGGTCAGTCCTGCATCATCAGCCAAAAGGCCAGGTGCTTCTCCTAGCAGCGAGGGAAGTCTATGTTACAACAGAGTCCATGTTACAACATCCAATGTGAACAGAAAACAGAGGCTCCTGAGGACTCTACATGGTTTTTACTCAAGTTTTCTAGCAATGAAACAAATGTACTTGAAACACTGGTAAGCACTTCAAACACTGGTAAGCACTTCAAACACTGAACTGAACTGAACATAATGCCTTCACTTCACGGCAGGAGAGGGAGCGGGAGTTCTGCCTTCCCTCCTGCTGTGACTGCATGTCAGCATACTGTCACAGACTCCTGCGTAGGCCACACGGCAGGAAAGGAGCGCTCGGGGTGGGTTTCTTCCCGATCTAAACGTATTATCCACCCATGTATCTATCCGCCCAGGTACAGGCATTTCCGCAGAGAACACAAGACTGGTTTAACAAACATTCCAGAGCGCATCTACCTTTCAAACTAATAATGTTCCTATCGTAACTGCAGTTTCTTTCTCTCCTGTATGACTCTCTGTCACATATCTGAGCTGGGTGGCTATGACTGCGGCTAACCGAAGGGCCCAGGAAGACTCGGGCCCCATGGCTGCTCCAGGTTACCGGTGAGTGGCGGGCCCAGGAAGACTCGGGCCCCATGGCTGCTCCAGGTTACCGGTGAGTGGCGGGCCCGGGGTCTCCGCTTGGTGTTCTCACTGTGCTTCCATGCACACAACACTTTTAGGACATTAACTTTAGGACTGATTTTGGAATATGTAAACCACATAATTCAGTCTCCATGTTTCAAAAAGTTTGAATTGTATTAATTTCCAAAGAATCCAAAATCAAACTGATCATCTAAGCCGCCAGATTTTGGCTCTGGACGACTTCACTCGCGCAAAAATAAGATTAAAGAAACCATCAGCCTATGGAGAGCAGGTGCTGTGTCCGCTGAGACACTGCCCCTCCGTCAGACACTCACTCTCTGGAGAATTATTGTTTTTTTACTCTTTCGGGCTGTCATTAGAGTGAGTGCATGCTCCTCCCACAGTGACACAGGGGAGACAATGCTCTCCTGCACAGCATGGTGACGCTGGCTAACAAGTCCACCCCACTCCTCAAAGGACCCCTCCCGCCGTCACCCCCCCCCCACCCCCATCCCCACCCCCAGCTTTCCCCACTCCCAGTCCAACTACATTTTCAAATTAGAAAATATCTAAGTACAGTGACTATCTTTGGTGAATTCCTCACTAGACCCTGCCTGCTCTGCTCCCACCAAAGTCAGGAGGGGAGGAAACCCAGCTTTGGCGATACGGAAGGGAGCGCGTGGGCCCACCTCGAGGAAGGGGAGCTGAAGGCAGGCCGTGCTCAGTGCCACACACCACGTGAGCACCAGCTACCTGCTCGTCACTAACAAGCAGGATGCGCCAGAGAAAGGGGACGCCTGACGGAAGGGAGCTGCTAACCTGCAATGGGCCAGTCACTCATACTCACACATCAGCCCTGCGACAGTGGCAAGCTCCTCAGGGACTGCTCTTAGAATTAGCTAAGTGAGCCAGAGCAGAGGTAAGTGTCATCTCAAGGAGCAGACGGGGAGGTGGCGGAGATCTGGTTACCTAAGGATGCGTATGAGCCCGGAGGCAAGGCCGCTGCGGAGCTGAAGGGCGCGGAGCCTGAAGCCGAGGCTTTGGACTTGGCACTGGCCGCTGCGTTCACATCGATGTCACTCCGGGATCGCTGAAGGGACCCAGTCGTTGACCCAGATTTGGTGCTGACGGTAGAAGCTGTGGTGGTAACGAAAGAAACATTAGCAAGAACCACACTAGACTTGTACACATATATTGTTAAACTAATTTTGCTTTTCTTTACAGCAAATATCGTTTTAACAAAGGCTGGACACAGCACTGACCAACACTTTCTCCTGGTCCCTCAAGACAGTTCAGTCCATGCTGAGGAAAGAGAAGGGACTGCAACTACACGCACTATTGCATCTGTCTTCTTGCAATCACAGACTAAAATAAAGCCCAGAGATGGACCACATTTCTGCTTAGTATGAGAAGTGAAACAAAAAATTGTTCACATCTGGCCAGTTTCTTCACAATGTGGCAAAAGTGTGCTCTTACCTAGCGGCCCACCCCCTTGGAGAACCCCTGCCTGCTCCCGCCCGCCCAAGGCCGCAGAGCTGCCGCTGCCCTAAGCACCCGTGGTCTTTGCTCCGGACCCGGTGACCAAAGTGGAGGAGCCGCACTGCGTGTGGCAGGATCCACATGCTGGGGGGACATGTGTGATGAAAGGTCAGAGCTTAATTTCTGCCTGAAGAAGCCGTCCTCACAGCTCATGGCCCTGGAGAAGGGGAGCTCTGCTGGGTCGTGCACACTGCAAACCAGCCGAGGCTAAGGCTGGGGCTGGGGCTGGGGTTGAAGCTGAAGCTGGGGCCGGGGCAAGGGCTGGTGCAGGGGATAGGAGCTGGGGATGGGGCTGGGGCCAAGGCAAAGGCAGGGGCTGGGCCAGGGCAGGGGCCGAGGCTGGGGCCAAAGCAGGGGCAGGGGCAGGCACAGGGGCAGGGGCAGGGGCTGGGGCGGCTTCCATGCGGTCCTGACCAAGGTGAGTCACAGCCTCCGCAATGCCCAGCCCATCAGCTTACCTCTAGAGGCGCTACTTCCAGTGGAACTTCTTTTGGCAGAGAGCGGCCGACTGGAAATAAAGTAGACACTTGCTTATTTTCATTAATACAAGTACAATCAATAACTGGAAATTATAATAATGAAGAATGATTTTGGAGTCTTCAGAATTTCTCAGGCAAGTTGGCCCACAATCTTATAAACTCCCCGTTTGAGAAAGCTTTACCATTCCAATGTGGACTATCTTGCAAACACAGAGAGAGCAGTCCCACCTAGAGACAGACGCTGAAACACAGAGTAAAGGTGACATAACATTCAGCCTCAGGTTCAGAACGCCCTCCCTTTACAAGCCTGTCCTGCAGTTATAATTGCTGTGCTCTCAGAAGACACTAAACTCTACTACTGAACCATCACCTAAATGTAACTAAAATCGACTTAGGCAAAGACCAAGGCCAGTATTTCTTACCCTTCCCATGGCGTCTTACCTCGTACCAGAACCACCTGAAGGGGGATTTATAACAGGCTTGTATATGTAGAAGCACAGCTAGAATGTGTGTTTTCATGCAGCAGATTTTAAACATAAAATCTCACACGAATGAATCCTTACTTCAGACTCTCTTGAGAGCTAGAAGACGAGCGATCGGATTGCGGCAAAGACACGATGCTGTCCGAGTTCTTCAAGTGGGACTGCAGGGCCTTCTGGTAGGAGGACTCCAGCGCGTGGTACAAGTGCTCTGCTTCTCTGCTGAAGTGACTGTGGAACCCCCAGTAGCACCTCGGGAAAACACAGCTTCCCGTTACCGTGAGGGCACAGGAGCTTCGCTGAGCTCTGCATCGTGCCCGACAGGACACGTCCCAGGACCAGCAGCCTGTTTCCCTGCTCCCGGAGCCTGGGTACGGAAGACACCATGAACAAAGGAGGCTGACCACACAACGTGCTGGCGTGTTGACACTGGGCAGGAACTTCTCTGAATCTCAGTCTCATTACAAAATGGAAATTAAAGAGGCTCACTTGCGAGAAGCTCTCCCACTGCAGACACAGCGGACTCTCATAGCCAGTTAGCCTGGAGGTCAAATCACCCCCGGTATTGCCGACAACAATCAAGGCTTAGCTACAACAAGACTGCGCACAAAGACCACTAGGGGGTGCACCAAGAAAAGATAAAAAAACGCGGAGACAAAGAAACATGACAGAAATGGAGGATATAGAGCTAAAAACCGCAATTTTAAGGTCTCTCAAGAACTGTCTAGAAGCCGCCGATAAATGTAGTGAGATCCTCAAGAAATCTAATGAGACCCTCGATGTTGTGATAAAGAACCAACCAGAAATTAAGCATACACTGACTGAAATAAAGAATATTATACAGACTCCCAACAGCAGACCAGAGGAGCGCAAGAATCAAGTCAAAGATTCGAAATGCGAAGAAGCAAAAAACACCCAACTGGAAAAGCAAAATGAAAAAAGAATCCAAAAATACGAAGATAGTGTAAGGAGCCTCTGGGACAGCTTCAAGCGTACCAACATCAGAATTATAGGGGTGCCAGAAGATGAGAGAGACCAAGATATTGAAAACCTATTTGAAGAAATAATGACAGAAAACTTCCCCCACCTGGTGAAAGAAATAGACTTACAGGTCCAGGAAGTGCAGAGAACTCCAAACAAAAGGAATCCAAAGAGGACGACACCAAGACACATCATAATTAAAATGCCAAGAGCAAAAGACAAAGAGAGAATCTTAAAAGCAGCAAGAGAAAGAAACTCAGTTACCTACAAGGGAATACCCATACGATTGTCAGCTGATTTCTCAACAGAAACTTTGCAGGCCAGAAGGGAATGGCAAGAAATATTCAAAGTGATGAATACCAAGAACCTACAACCAAGATTACTTTATCCAGCAAAGCTATCATTCAGAATTGAAGGTCAGATAAAGAGCTTCACAGATAAGGAAAAGCTAAAGGAGTTCATCACCACCAAACCAGTATTATATGAAATGCTGAAAGGTATCCTTTAAGAAGAGGAAGAAGAAGAAAAAGGTAAAGATACAAATTATGAACAACAAACATGCATCTATCAACAAGTGAATCTAAGAATCAAGTGAATAAATAATCTGATGATCATAATAGAATCAGGGACATAGAAAGGGAATGGACTGACTATTCTTGGGGGGGGAAAGGGGTGTGGGAGATGTGGGAAGAGACTGGACAAAAATCGTGCACCTATGGATGAGGACAGTGGGTGGGGAGTGAGGGCGGAGGGTGGGGCGGGAACTGGGAGGAGGGGAGTTATGGGGGGAAAAAAGAGGAACAAATGTAATAATCTGAACAATAAAGATTTAATTTAAAAAAAAAAAAAAAGAGGCTCACTTGCAAGAACACTGGGGAGCCTTAAGGGAGAGGGAACTGAAACATGGAGAACTATACCTAAAACCTGAGGGAGTCACAAATGGCAGTTTTTGTTGTTTTGTTAATCCTCACTGGAGGATTTTTTTTTTTCATTGATTTTCGGAGAGTGGAAGGGAGAGAGAGAAAGAGAGGTAGAGAGATAGAGATAGAGATAGAGGTAGAGGTAGAGATAGAGATAGAGATAGAGATAGAGAGATAGAGATAGAGAGAAAGAAAGAGAAGAAGAAAAAAAACATGGAAGTGAGACACATTTTTGACTGGTTGCCTCATGCAAGCACCCAGACTGGGGGGAGGGATCGAACCTGCGACCCAGGTACATGCCCTTGACCAGGAATTGAAACTGAAAACCTTTGATGCACAGGCTGGTGCTCTAACCATTTAGGAACACTGCCAGGACTAATGGTAGTTTTCATCAATGTAATTTGACACTCATTGATTTGAAGTATTTAAAAATTGCCCTAGATAATGTGTACCAAAAAAAAAAAAAAAAAAAAAAAAAAAAAAAAAAGGGAAGATGTTCAGAACTACTTAAAATGATAACTAAAGAACTACAATGAATTGAGGAAGGGGAAGAATACAAGGATAAAAAGAGCATAAGTAGGTCATTAACAAATACCTTCCTAATAGTTTTTACCAGCTATTAATTATTTCAGTTACTTTGGTAGGAACCACCCACCCAAGATGAGCTTGTGGTGAGCACTTCACTGTCATAGTGAGGTCCTCCAAAAAACTCAGAAACCAGAGAAATAGGATTTATCTGAGAACACAAAGAGCAGGAAGTAATTGATCAGGACGTATTAATGCAGCTAAGTAAAATAACCATACTCCATGCTTGTAAGAAGGAATAGGGTTGTTGCTATTTTTTAATATATTTTTATTGATTTCAGAGAGGAAGGGAGAGGGAGAGAGAAACATCAATGATGAGAGAGCATCATCAATTGGCTGCCTGCTGCACGCCCCCTACTGGGGATCGAGCCCACAACCTGGGCATGTGCCCTTGCCTGGAATCAAACCCAGGACCCTTCAGTCTGCAGGCCCACCCTCTATCTACTGAGCCAAACCAGTTAGGGCAAGAATAGGTTTTAACCTGTGTCAAGGAGAAGAGCTGATCAACCACAAAAACACAGAAAAAAACGCCACAGGCAAAGCTGGCAGTGCTCATCTATGCGCTCCTGTGCCTGAGAAAGACTTAGCATGAAACTTCTGGTGTTCACGGCCACAGTGCAAAATTACTCCCGGGGAGTTCTGGACGTCCGGGGCCATAGCCTTGTGAATGGAGCGGAACTGCCTCAAACGTGACGGCAGCAGCAAGTCATCACTGGGACAATCCTGAGCCTCCGCTCACCCCTCCCCTAACTGTGACGCACACCCCCAAACCACCACCTGACGCTCACTGCCTGACCGCGGGGAAGGAAGTCCCTGTGGACTCTGGCCTGGCGTCAGCAGGGCTCACTGAAGGAGTCAGAGAACACCTGAGCGTAGGAAAAGGTGGTGTACAAATACACACTTACTTTCTGGCTTCTATCCTGGCTTCAGAGTCAGCATCATGTATTCCCTTCTTTATCGTTTCGGCTAATACTGATATGTGCCTAGACATTTAGAAAAGAAAGCAGCAACCATTAATAACGTATGTGCTGTGCAGATGGAAACAAGTGTGAGACGTAACTTCAAAATGGCCACATGGAACGTAGAGCCTTTGTGCGAGTCCAGTCACAATGCAGCTTCCGCATCGGAGTGTCCTGGGGGCCCGGGGTCTGTCCCAGTGCCCCACCCCCCCCCAAGCACCCTGATAACTGTACACTCTGGTGTGATTTTTTTTTAAGTTAAAGCTGATTTTTTTCAGGCCATACTTATTTAGCTCAATTTTTTATGAACCAAAACAACAAAACTCCACTTTTCCATAGTCAGAACTAGTTTCTATGGAAATTTGTAATAAGACAATTATAATCTTAATACTAAAGAGGCTATCTGCATCACATTTCTGTAAAGAGAATGCTTTTTCAAGTTCCACTATGTATCATGAACAATTTTATAAAATTATGTAACCATTTTATAGATAGGTATTCTCTTTAGTTATGTTCTACTCTAGGTGAGAAGAAATCATTAAACTGTCTCATTGACATTTAACAAAGTTTAAAAAAAAGGGAAATGCTGGAATGAATAGTTTCACAGAACAAAGAGCAGTTACCAATTTTACCAGCCCATGCACAGTCTTTCCCTCACTCCTTCATTCATTCAGTATTTAGTGACAAACACAGAGTTGGAAGGTGAATGAATACACGAGGCTACATCTGAGCTCTTCATGCTTTTCTATTCTCTTCACTTGTCCCCACGTTAAATCCTCATTCCACTTTTCTCTAAATTCCAAAGCTGCCACCAAATAAAGAGGGTATAGTAGTACTACTATGAGACTAAAAACCAAGAAAGTCTTGAAGAAGAATGTGAGACTATCTTCTAGATGCAAAGTATGTCCAGGTGAAAACGTGCCCAGGGAGCCTCGGCGTTGTTTCATCTCTGACCACTGCAGCATGGACGGGCCTCCCAGGAGCACTCAACTTACTAAAATCCCACTCTAATAAGTTTAATATGCTATGAAGGCCTTCACAAATTATACGATGTATCATTAAAAACGAGTGGCACAGCCGAAACCGGTTTGGCTCAGTGGACAGAGCGTCGGCCTGCGGACTGAAAGGTCCCGGGTTCGATTCCGGTGAAGGGCATGTACCTGGGTTGCGGGCACATCCCCGGTGGGAGGTGTGCAGGAGGCAGCTGATCGATGTTTCTCTCTCATCGATGTTTCGAACTCTCTATCTCTCTCTCCCTTCCTCTCTGTAGAAAATCAATAAAATATATTTAAAAAAAACAACAACAACAACAAAAAAAAACGAGTGGCACAAAAATCAGCATTTATTTCTCCAAATTTAACTCAGGAATAACAAAAAAATGACTCAAAATTCTGAGGCAGGCTTCTATTCTTCAGGAATTGTCATAATCCCTGTTTTCATTATGATGATGAGAAACTTACCAAACACCAACCTGAATAAAGAGAAACTTGCTGACTTTCTGATCTACCCAGGCTGCTCAGAACACCTTAGCCACAGGAGGCCAGCTGCAGGACCAGTCAGCGAAGGGGCAGCCGGGCTGTGTGGCTGTCACAGTGCACATCTGCCCACACCTCTAGACACACTAATCCTTCAGTCAGTGAAGTTCACGCCAGGCTATTATGTGCCTCAGAGAAGTAGAAATGGCAAATGTAGTCATGAGAACAAATGCTTAGATTCCTTCATTGCTGACAGAAAGTGGACCACTCACTGAGTCATTAAATCTCAAGATTCAATTCAGAGGGGAAAAAACAGCAAATTGGATGCTCACCGTTCCAGTGAATGTGTTTGCCATTCTTGTAAAAGTAAATCTAAAAATTCAAAACAGCGTCTGAAAATTGTAAAGAAAAAATATGCAACTTAGTGATTTGTATGTTAGTAAAAATAAAAGCTTTTTTCTTAAATGACCCAACACTACTTTTTATAATTGATAAGTGACTTCTAATTTTTATGATTTAAAAAACGGAACATAAAGATGGAATCAGAATTAACAAAGTCAAAGAAAATTTAAAAAATGAAGCATCTATGGTGATCAAGAGAAAAATCATAGCTAGCTATAGGGGCAGGATGCAAATGTTCCCCCCAGCAACATCACCCACAGGGTGCATCGTTCTCAAGTGTTTATTCTACCTCAAGCAACACGTGGATACAGACGCAAACATGCACAAAGGAGCAACATATACTACAGAATCAGGCAATTGGTCTTTGCATTAATTTCACAGAATGCCTTGCACACAAAAAAAGTAAAAAACACTCGTAAGATGTGCCCGTAAGATGGATATGGGGCCACCTCATGCTTAAAAGGATCCCCTATCCATGGAGACCAGGCAGGACCAACATGACCCCCCAGGAAAGGCGGGAACAGCAGGCAGCTAACGAGGCTGGGTGGAAGCCTGGGGGGGGGGGGGGGGGCGGGGCAGGGCTCTCTCACTGGCTGAATCAAGACACCGCCCTGCAGTGTCTTGGAAAAACAAGAAGTGTTTGACAGATTTTCCTGTTAAGAAGGTTCTTCTAGGTAGTGCTAAAAATCCTTTTTTTCTAGCTACTCAGCCATTTTCCTCTCCTCAATCATTCAATAGCCTTTCTCTTTCAGCCTTTTCACGTCTGTGATATTTCTTAGTCTGATCTGTGCACTGAAACATTCCTGTCTCCTCTCCTTTGGATGACATCACCACTTTGGGTGAAGGCCAGGGTAGCCATCTTTGTGGGAAGAAATCTTAATGGTTTTAGGAACCCATTCGAGGAAACAGGTCAGAAGGTGATCTTTCTCGAATGACCCGACTTTCCTTCCCATGATCTTCCTAATTCAAAATCTCATAATCCATACAATTAACCACTCAGTAAATCTTTAGCAAGCCCTTACCCTCTGCTAGATGCTAGAGATACGATGGTAACTAAGACACAATCCAGGGAGCTCGACAGACAAGAAAGGGTTACCATGTGCCTAGAGCACCAGGGGCTCTAAAGCACACAGGAGAGATATTCACCCCAATCCTAGGGGTGGTAACATGGGGAGTTTGGGGGTTTGCAAAGCAAACTTTCTCCAAGGAAACACACTGGATTTATCTCTTAGTGCAAACAGCCATCTTTAGTACTAATTCTTGTCTTAAGTATTAATTAAAAATACGCCTGTAATTAGGTTTTGTTTTCAACTTTTTAGACTTACAGCAAACACAGAAGTCTATCAATGTTGGCATTATTTAACCACATCACCAATTAAACATCAGGTTAGAACTTGTCCCTTCTTCACCTACTCATCATTCAAAAAGGCAGCGCACGTTTCCACTTTCTACGAAGCTTCTTGAGCATGTTATCTGCTGGTTTTGATCACTGCTCTCTCTGAATGCTGTAACTCACTCTTACACTGCTTTGTGTTACTGGTTTTAATATCTCTAACTAATGATAAACTTCTGAAGGCAGGGAAGTGGTGCAATGCATTTCTTAGCAATTCTAGAGAGCGAAGGTAGGTACAGGTTACACTGCCCGCTCTGGCCCTCCATACCTTTCTACAGGCAGAGTGACAGCCAGGTGGTCCCATTCCTTCCAGCACTAAGACACGTGATTCTGACGGTACTCGCTCTGACTGAATACAGAACAGCAATCTGGGAGTGGCTCAGAAATCGATGAAGGGGGGCGGGGGGGCATTCCTACTGCCAAAGGCTTGTAGTTTGCTACTCACATTTCGCAGCAGAGGCCAGAACTGCTAACTGCTCCGGAATGAGTTGTGCTAACCCAACATGCATACACTGGGGCCCTAATCCCCAATACGTGGTATTTGGAGATGGAGCCTTCCGGAGGTAATGCAGTGAGGCTCTCGGGATGGATTGGTACCCTTCTAGCTTGCTCTCTTTCCCTCTGTCTTGTGAAGACACAGAGAGAAGGCTGCCATCTGCAAGCTACCCTCCTTGGAACCAACCATCAGGCACCCTGCCCACAGCTCGCCGGCTCCAGAACTGAGTACATCTCTGCTGTCAGTCACCCAGTGCACGCACGGTCTTTTAGGGCAGCCCACGCCGGCTACTGCACCAAACACCCTGCAATGTCCACCACAAAGGTGGGTGTCAGCTCACTGCAGCAACTCTGCCTTACACAAAGGAAAAACACCTCTGCACTTCTCTAGGAAACCTACAACAGTAAGACAATAGCAGCAGCAGCAGCAAATTCTAACACGGGTTACCATCCATTAAGCTTTTACTAAGCGCCGAACCCTTTCACCTAAGTGGCTGTGGCCCCGCAGAACAACTCTGCACATGCCGGGAGCCGGTCCATGCTTGCTGTTTCAAGGGACCTGGCATATATGGCATACTGTTCTTAATATGTTTGCTCACCTTCTTGGCACTATGTGTTTTAACCAAGGTCTCTGAGAAAGGTTGTTTCCCCAGGTAGGGATTTTCCCCTGAAGTTAGGGAGGGAATAAAACCTCTTAACTAGTGCCAGGTGGGTAATTAATCACTTTAACTACGAACAATCATGCTTAAGCTACATAATCTTTACTCCCTGGAATGGAGATAAGAAACGCCCTAACCTTTGTAATAGAGATTGATAGGATTGAGTCAACTGGTATAAATACAGATGTAATAAGACAGCAAGAGACAGAACTTAGAATACGGAACCAAGAGAGACGGAAGCTAGGCACAGAACCTACACAGAACGTTCTCTAGAGACAGAAGAACTTCGCTGGAGAGAACATGGCAAAAGTTCCTGGACAGAAACTGGCCTCAGAACCTAGAGACAGAACCTAGCGAGAGAACATGGCAAAAGATCCTGGACTGAACCTGACTACAGAAATGGGCAAGAGAACCTGACTAGAACCTGGTGACTGAACCTGGCTGGAGAACCTAGCGAGGGAACATGGCTACAGAACCTGGCTGGAGAACCTGGAGAACCTAGCAAGAGAACATGGACACAGACCCTGGCTGGAGATCCTAAGCAGAACTTCGCTGGAGATCCAGACCAGAACTTGGCTGGAGATCCTGGCTAGAGATCCTGGCTAGGCTGCTGATCAACTGAAGACTGTCTCCATGTCCTTCCTTCTTCGCTGACTCCGTCTATGCCTTTGGGGACCCCTGGACCCGCTGGGGTTGGACCCCGGCATGCACAGGGTCCTCTCAGGCCAAATAGTCAGTACGTGGGACAAGGCAATGCTCCTCCCCAAGTCTGCCTCCTCGGGACCCACTGGCAGCCCTGTGCCTGCTGCCTCTGCACGCTGAGCTCTAGGAGAGGCGAAGCCGCTCTGCGCTGATCCCAGAGAGAGCTGAGTGGGTCCAGAGCAGGCTGCATCCTCAGCTCTATGCAATTTGGCCTTGCAGCTCAAAATTAAGCTTTTTCAGTGGGAGGAGCACATTTCTTTCTTGACTTATACAGTTGGATGATTGCCCTTTCCTTCCGCATGACTACCATGTGCCCGTAAGATGGATATGGGGCCACCTCATGCTTAAAAGGATCCCCTATTCATGGAGCCCTGGCAGGACCAACATGACACCCCAGGAAAGGCGGGAACAGCAGGCAGCTAACGTGACTGGGTGGGGGGAGGGCTCTCACTGGCTAGAATCAAAACATCGTCCTGCAGGATGGAGCCAGGAGGCTGCTGCCTGTTATGTACACTATAAAGCTCCTGACACAGTCCCTGGAGAGGCTTCACAAAACCTACACAAACCACCCTGTGTATTTACGTTTGCCTGGGAAGAGGGCCCACAGATCTGAATAGACTCTCAAAAGACCCTGTGACTCAAGAGTCAAGAATCACAAATCCCAGCGAGAAAGCCTGTATTCCTCACATGTGATCTAGGGCTCACCAGGACCCAAGACAAAACGGGGTTAGGAACAAAGACCTAGCCACGCAGGTTTGTATCTTCTGCGTGTATCTCCCATAACTGTGCAGAAGCGGGTGATTGGTCAGAATCCAGAATCCCAGAAACCACTATCAGAAGATGCAAACACACATGCCTCTTCCTATCTATTACTATTAAACAACTGCCATTCATTCTTTTCTTGCACATACACAGTTACTGTCTTCCTTCAAAGGGTACACCAATGACATAGGTGAGAGATTATCTCAGGAAAAGATGTACAGAGGATCCTTTCCCCTCCCCCGACCCAAACCCCAATTAACTCACATACCAACACACACACACACACACACACACACACACTCGTTCATTCATTCATTCTCTCTCTTGCATGATGCACGCACAAATAATCAAGGTTGTCCAAATTTACTTTCCCGACTATTTAGATCATAATTCTTCAATATAAAGTTATTTATTGCAGCAATCTTAAATACTATTAAACATTTCAAACAAACTTTTTCCTATTGAAATTTGTTTTGGTTTTTAAACAATGCAAAAATAATAAGAAACTGTTTAAAATTTTACCTTCTAACTGCAACAGACTTGGAGGTACAGTTGCTTGTTATCACAGGTATTAGCCTAGGGATATGTGTGTGCTGAGAAGAACAAAAAAACGAACACTTGAAAAGAGGTCAGCAGACCAATTTATTTTGATATTGTTTTCATGGAAATACCCCAAAATGGCTTTCTGTTTAATATTAAGCAGGCAGTGCAAATAGTAAGAACTAAAAGTAATACAAAGTAAGTAACCCACAATAATAAGAATATTCTGGGTAGACTTTGGTTAATCTCAAGCCTCAGCGGCAAGGGCTGCCTCTGGGAAAAGGGACTTGAGAGTGGGGAGCGGTGATATGGAGAACTTTCATTTTAAGCCGTGTGAACAACTGAATTTTACTGAAAACTTGTATATAAATTACTTAAATAATTACTTAAATGTAAATGTTTAGAAAGTGAACTAAAGAGAATATTTTGTTTCTCTATTACCTACTATTAAGTAAATAACAATTACAGGTGAGTAACAAAACCACAAACACAAATACCTAGAGTGGAACGACCAGGCATTAGGAAGGAAGGAAAGGGAGCGTAATGTGGAGATGTAAATAACAGTAGAAACTCAGAAGCAGATGGGGATGCTCTAATATTTACAAGCAATGATGAGTCCATGATCAACACCTCAGTAACTATACACCGCATCCATAATTCACGTGATGGAATGTGAAAGGCTCATGTGCTATAATTAAGTGGGGCAAAAGGCCAATACTTACCCGAATGATTAACCTAACAGCTACAACACCAGAAGTGGCCATAATTTTGGCACTGTTTGGAATTAAATTAAAGATAGTTGGCATAATGGCTTCAGCTCCATGGTCAAACTTATTCCCCAGAACTGATGACAGATGCCTAAAATAAGAAATTAATACTGGAATGTAGTTCTATTTCTTGCAAACAGAGAAGCATATAAAACTCTTAACATTTTAGAATCTTCATTTAAAGTTATCTAGAAATTAAGGACAAGGGTCTCAAATCTTTCCAATGTACATGTAGAGGACTTGGCAAATAGCCAGTAGCCCACTGTTCCTTTTAAAAAAAAGTAAATCATTTCCAACAAATTAGAATTCAAATAGCAAAAGACAAATTTATCATACACTAATAAAACATAAACAGGAAAAAGCTGCCTCACTCTTTCTCTTTCACCCTTTTTATTTTCAACATAAAATATTCATGCTTCAACATCTGACTGCAGCCAAAGCTTTTAAACAGCCGCAATGCCATCTGCTGTCACTGCTCCTCTGATATTCTGACATACTTCCTAACACAGAAGTTGCAGCTCCAAACATTGGTCCAGATTCAGTTTAAGTAGGATAAACATTTACTAGACTACATTGCATGTCTTTCATTTTATAGCTGGAGTACTCTTCTAGAAACAATAAAAAATTCTGATAAGATGCTATCTCCTGTCAGCAAAATCAATGAAAAAGCTGAGAAACAAGTTTATAAATTTCATTTTTCAGTATTATTAGTAACAACTGCTTCAGAGCTAAGTCACGGAATAAAGTTTAAAATCTGTCATACTTTACATAATTGGGCGAGAAGTATTGTAAAAGTATTAGCAGCAGTGTAACTGGAATGGGTCTTGGAGACTAGACGGGAGTAACATTAGAAAGACCCATCGGACAGAGCCATGAACCGCCCCGAAGCCTGTGCCTAGGATGTTATGACGTGAGAATCTGGAGCTTTGCAGTCCTTACCCCAACGTGATACAAGCCTCCCGCACTACCTGAGACCGCAGATCCTTAGCAGATAGTTTAAAGGCTCCATCCAAAAGTCTCAAATGTTGAAAGAAGTTATCATATTCAGCAGCACCAGCCAAAAGTAAAGATCTAATCTTTTTTAGCTAATGGGATAGAGAAAATTAGGAGATATACAAAACTGTTCCTAAAACAGAACATACGGAATAACAGAAGCCATCAAATATGAGAGATCAATGTCAATCTTAAATGATATAGAAATAGTTTTCCAAAAAGAACTCAGCCAATTAAATGTTAGCTAATATATGGAACAAATCTACATAGCAAAAATAAGAACAATTTTTAAAATGTAGTATCTATGATAAATACAATTCTACAAAATGCATTTTAAATTGAAAACACCTTAGTGTATACATTCTATCCTAATGATAAAATCACCAGAGCCTGCATTTTAGCTTGTAAAAGGCTCTTCCTTCCTAAGCTTACCTTCCCCCACACCCACTCCAACTGCCATTTATTTAATAAATCAAAGGAAGTAGCAATCCTACAGTCTCTTTTAGTATCCTCCACTGTATCATTACTAAAAGCTGGTCTGAATTTGAAAGGGAGTACAATAGCTTTCTTACCACCCCTCTTTTTGCCAGCCAACCACTGTAAAAACAGCTTTCTCAGATCAGACGCACCGTCCCTTTAACGTTCAGCTACTTGCTTTCATTAATCTACTTTTAAAAACAGACAAACAGGACTTTCTAGCATGCAATGTGAAGAAAGGAAGGGAGGATCACACTAAATGCCACTAAAAAGCAGCTTCGCTGTCTTTACCAGGTGAAAGTGGAGGGCATCACCAGACATTCCACAATTAGGTCTTTGTTAAAAATATAGGATCTGCATAAAGGTGTAAGTTTGCATGCTTTAAAAATAGATGTGAGGTACTCTACTAAAAGGTAAAATGTTAATGCAGTAATTTTTATTTAAAATATTTATTCCTTAAAATTCATTAGAGCTGTATCCCAATTTCAAAATAAAGAGTTTAGAAGATATAAATAAATCTAGTGAAAATGTAATCACATAAAATCACTGGCTTACAGCATTTACTCTTTGCTCCCAATCATGCTTGTCATCAGATAATATTTCTCTAATCTTGTTTATGGATTCCTCGAGGTCTCGACTGGAATAAATCTGTAAGCAAAATTAATTTACAATAAGCATAAGATAATGTAAAGAATAAAAAAGATTATTTCTTAATTACATGAAGTCAAGAGCATTTAGTAAAATAAATCATTTCATTTTCCAGAAGAGCCTATGAGATAACATCTGGACAGATTTGTCCTAGAGCAGCCATGGGCAAACTACGGCCCGTGGGCCGGATCCGGCCCGTTTGAAATGAATAAAACTAAAAAAAAAAAAAAAAAAGACTGTACCCTTTTATGTAATGATGTTTATTTTGAATTTATATTAGTTCACACAAACACTCCATCCATGCTTTTGTTCCGGCCCTCCGGTCCAGTTTAAGAACTCATTGTGGCCCTCGAGTCAAAAAGTTTGCCCACCCCTGTCCTAGAGTGAGCTTCATCCCCCTTGTGAGCATGTACCCACTAGAACTGGTGCCCATATATATATGAGTAACCCAGCCTCAAATACAGCTTTATGGTAAACTTAACAGATGGCTTGCCATTTAAAAAGAACAGGACCTGCTGGGAACTGTCAGTGGTGCACAAGTCCTTTAGGGTTCCTAGTAGCACATATAACAGTGCGTTACACAATCCATTTCACATCCATCACTTTCAAATCTACTTTTTCATTTACTCCCACATCTGATAAGACAGGTAGGAGAATCACCAACCAGGAATGGGACATGCTGGGAAGATCAAGGACTTAAAGATGAAACTTAGCCTAAGATGCCTGTTATCTTATTTACACACATTTGGAAACCAAACAGTAGTTAACTAGCAATTCATCTATATATAAAAAAGTATAAGAGACCAAGAAAAGAACAGTCGGTCGATCAGTTGCTATGACGTGCGCTGACCACCAGGAGGCAGACGCTCAACGCAGGAGCTGCCCGCTGATGGTCAGTGCCTTCTCACAGCAGGAGCACCACTCAACTGACCGATGGGTGCCAGATGCCAGGCTCATGGCTGACAAGTGCAGCTGCAGCGGCACAAACTTCTCCCGCCTCCGCAGCTGTGCTACCCGAGCAGCAGTGGCGCAGCGGGGCAAGGATGAGTGGGAGTGGCGTGGCGCCCGCCCAGGCTCAGGCTCCTCCCCGGATGCCTGCTGCTTTGCACACTACTACATCCCTCAGGGGATGTTGGACTGCGGGCTTCTGCCCTATTCAGCCTGGCCTGGCCTGTGGGGATTGGGCCAAAACCGGCAGTCCAATATCCTCCGAAGTGTCCCGGATTTCGAGAAGGCACAGGCCAGGCTGAGGGGCCCCACCAGTGCACAAATCCATGCACCGGGCCTCTAGTATAGGCATAAAATGCTATAGGAATCCAGAGCATTGGATAGTCAATGTAGGCGAAGAAAAGTATTGCTACCTCCAGTCACTGATAAAAAATACTGTGACATTCAAAGCAGATAAAATGTATGACTTTACCCCAACTTTTATCAATACCTTTGCTTCATCTGTTAGGTACTTAAGTGAAGCATCAAGATGGCATAAATAAGCTTTTATCAAACCATTCTTCATAGCTTCTCAGACACCAAAATCCTTCAAATTTACAAATTTTTCTTTCTAAGAAAAATCCCTAAATAAGCATGCTTCTTTGTTCCTTTGTATAATCTAATCACTCCCTTCCCCCCTCTTTTATGTGCCCTGACCCACCAACTTGCTACTAGAGGAAGCAACTTACTTCTAGTTCTTACTGAAAGATCATCCTGGGCCTTGACTTCTGCTCATTTCAGCTATAAAAGGCTCCAACACTTTCTAGTCTGCAACCTCAGATCTCCCATAGTCTCGATACTTAAAATTACTTACCGAGTAAGGAACTTTCCGTACCACATATTTGAAAAGTGAAATTTGAAGAGTAAGCCTCTCCTTGCTTTTAATCAAACTCAATCATCCTCACTCACCTGCACTGCAGGTACGTCGTCAAAGGCCTTAATAAAATCCTCTTCATCAACAGCGCCAGCTCCTTCTTTTGGAGCTATAAAAAATTTATTTTAAAATGTAAATTAAGTGCATTGGAAGAACTGGAATACACAATAAACGTTATATTTTGGTGGATTTGTAATCATTTCTTTAAAGCTTAATAAAAATATAAAGTGTTGTGATTCCACAATATTTTACTGATTTTTTTTAAAAATATGTTTTTATTGATTTTAGAGGGGAAGGAAGAGGGAGAGATAGAAACGTCAATAATGAGAATCATTGATCGGCTGCCTCCTACACACACTCTATTGGGGATCGAGCCTGCAACCTCGCATGTGCCCTGATTGGGAATCAAACTGTGACCTCCTGGTTCATGGGTCAATACACAACCAATTAAAATAAGTTCTAACGCATTTAACAGTTTCATTTCCACTTTAAATTAGCCTTAAAACATTTTCATTTCCTTCGAACTCATGATAATTGTCAATTTTTCATTTATACATCAGTAGCAAGTTCCCCCTATCAAAACTGTTGTAAGATGCTTTGTATACTTGAAAGTTAATTGCTGTCATTTAGGAGCACGTTCTTCTTTTTGCTATTATGAACGCCACATATAAAATCTTATGACATCTTACAGTTGTTGTTTTTCATACTAAAGATTTCAAAACTGGTGTCTGCAATCATCCTTGTAACCTCATTGATTCACATTGGTCCCTGTGAGTGCTTCCCTAGAGCTTCTTACCAGACACCTCTCTGGTGGTTGGTGTCCTGCTGGAACCCGCACAGACAAGGGCTTTATGGACAACTCCTGGCAGCAGTAAATGCATGCCAACCCCCGATGAACACTCACTCACACTGCATTTACAGGCCAACTATGGACAGGTGACAGTCACGCACTGAGCTGGGGTGCTCTGTGCTTGTTCTAGCACTAGGACTGGATCCCACTGAGCAGACAGGTCCGGAGTGCCTCCTCTGCGTAAGGCACTGCCCCACATACCCACGAAGGGAAGAGGACTCCAAGACCTAAGGAATCTGACAAGGAGCTGACAAGGAGCCAACAAGGAACTTCATGGCCATGGTGCTAGGCAAAATGGGGAAGAGATGAGGTCAGGGCCGAAGGGGAGACAGGCCTGGTGTCTCTGCTAGTTTACACAGCTGAGACTTTTGGAAGGAACGTCTGGGTGAAGGGTGGGAAGGAAATGAAGTGGTCTGATCATGCAGAACTTTCTGAAACCTTATTTGTAGAATTGACACCACTCAAGAACAGATCAAGAAAAAGGAGTAGGAAGGCTGTTTGGCCATAAGAGGAATGAAGTACTGATACATGCTACAACGTAGATGAACCTCAAAAACATGCTCAGTGAAAGAAGCCAGAGCAAAGATCTCATTTCTCGAAAAAGCCAGCATAGGTAAAGTCTCGGGAACAAAATGCAGACTGTGGTGGCCAGGGGCTGGGAGGAAGGGGAGCAATGGGTAAAGAGTGTGGGGCTTTCTTTTGGGGTGAGGAAACTGTGTTGGAACTAGAAGTGGTAGGTGCACAATACTGTGAATATACTAAATGCCAATGAATTGTGACCTTTAAAATGGTTAATTTTATGCTATGTGAATTTAAGCTCAATAACAAAAATAAAAATTTTTAAATGCACTCCCCTAAAAAAGTTAGAGGTTCACGCTCTCCAAGCAGACAGAGCTGCCGGCAGAGGGCCTGCAGTGCAGCTCGCCGCTCCAGTCCAGACTCCAGCACTCCAGGGCCAGTTCGGAGAGCAGCCAAGACCGGCAGGACGTAGTATGCGGGTGCTAACCCGGCTCCAGCTTTAACTCAGCACATCAGCAAGCTCAAAAGCCCAATGCTAACAGGAGCACGGTCTAAAACCAGTGGCCACATATTTTAGAAGTAAAAAGTAGGAAATGTGCATATAAATGCACAATGTGACATCAAAATGAAAGTAGATAATAAGGACTCAAACTGTCCAAATTCGGGGGTGGGAGGAGGGATTTAGGGAGGAAGTCTTTGTAAATCAATTTTCAAGCCTCAAGGAACTAATCCCTCCTATTTACTTAATTTAATATCTATACTAATCTCACAAGGAATAATGCTACCTGGAGAAACAAAATACATTTTAAAGTCAGAAGATACAATCTGACTTCCAGATAGTCTGTCTTGATAAATAAAAACTGGCTAAAAAGGCCTCATTTCAGACACCGCTAGATCCCAACAATCAGCAAATGCTCTTCCTCTATCTCTTAGCTCTTCTTCCCTGGGTGTGGGCTTTATGCTCCTACAGCAGCGGTTCTCAACCTGTGGGTTGCGACCCCTTTCACAGGGATCGCCTGAGACCACCGGAAAACACATATATAATTACATATTGTTTTTGTGATTAATCACTATGCTTTAATTATGTTCAATTTGTAACAATGAAAATACATCCTGCATATCAGATATTTACATTACGATCATAACAGTAGCAAAATTATAATTATGAAGTAGCAACGAAAATAATTTTATGGTTGGGGGTCACCACAACATGAGGAACTGTATTAAAGGGTCGCGGCATTAGGAAGGTTGAGAATCACTGTCCTACAGACTCCGCTTACCAAAAGGTGGCAACACAGCATCTCAAATTTACATCCCTCCAACTCCTCACCACCGACAGCACAGAAGTTAAAGAACGGCAGCAGAAACATATTGCAAGCGAGACTGCTTCACTTCTGAAGGACCCAGAGGCAAGTACCATGCACGTCTGGTTTCAAAAACTTGCACAGCTGACCGCACAACGCCCCCCAGGGCTGGAATTACCTGAAGACTTAGACCCGAGAGTGGACGATCCAAACCGCCGGGTGGTCCCCATTCCAGCGTTTCTCCGTGAGCTTGGTGGAGCTTTGGATGATGTAGAACTGGCAGAGGAAGGTCTGTTACCATCCACAGAATCTTCATCATCAAAATTTTTATCTGAAGAGTAAGCACAGAAATCACTGTTTTTTTGTTGTGTTTTTTAAGAACTTTTTTGCCTGAACTTCAAACATCTAGCCTTAGAGGTGAATAGCTTGCCTCCTCTTTTGGAATTTGAGTGCCTGTCCAGGGTCTGTCCAGGCCTCAGGTAAGTCCAGAATGCAGCCACACCATCCAGTTCACTCTCACTAATCTGGGACCCCCTCCACCCACTTGGAAAATAGATAACACATAAAGAAGAAAGCAATCTCTCGTAAGGCCACCACCTAGAAAACATTTTAGCGTGTGTTTGACCGTTCGGTCATGCAGTTTTAGGTAACAGCTGGCATCCTCTGCCGGCACGGCTCAGGGGTTGAGTGTTGACCTATGAACCAGGAGGTCACGGCTGGATTCCCAGTCAGGGCACATGCCCAAGTTGTGGGCTCGATCCCCAGCGTGGGACGTGCAGGAGGCAGTCAATTGATTCTCTCTCATCGCTGATGTTTCTATCTCTCTATCCCTCTCCCTTCCTCTCTGAAATCAATAAAAATATACTTTTTTAAAAAAGCATTGAATAGACTGTCAAACCTCAGAGGGAAGGGGGTGGCAGATAAGAGATCAACCAAAGGAATTGTATGTATGCCTATAAGCATAAGCAATGGACATAGACAATAGGGGGGTGAGGGCATGTGCTGGGAGGGCGGGGGTGGCCGGAGAGAGGTCAATGGGGGAAAAAGGAGACATATGTAATACTTTCAACAATAAAGAATTTAAATTTAAAAAAAAAAACACATAAAAATAAAAGCATATAATCCCACTACGGAACCTTTCTCAAAGAACAAAATTAATGCGTGTATAAACATAATTAAATAGCTCAAATATTACAAGAAAATAAAATGAGAATAAAAGACTTCTCTCCCACTCCACTACTAGTTCCCAGGCTTTTGTTTTTAATTTTCTATTTTGGAATAGTGCCCGAGTGACAGACAGTTGTGAAGACAGCACAGAGTTCCCATTTACCCCACGCAGTCTCCCTATATTAACATCTAATATTAGCAGTGCACTTTTGGTACGTTATTATTAACTAAAATCCATCGTTTATTCAGAGTTCCTTCCTTTTCTCCTACTGTCCTTTATCTGTTCCAGATCCCACTAAGGATACCAAGCGACACGCAGTCATCACACCTCCCTAGGCGCCTCCAGGTGTGAGTCCTCAGACTTCCCTGACAGCTTCCAGGAGCACTGCTAGGAGCGTTCACAGATATCCTTCAATCTGCAAACATTTACCTGATTTTTCCTTCATGGTTAGATCGAGTTTATGGGTTTGGGGAAGGAAAACTACAAGATAAAATGCCACTCACATCACATCACATCACATCACATCACATCACATCACATCACATCACATCACATCACATCTCATCAAGAGAACATGCCATCAACTAGCCTCCTGACATGGGCCTCGGTCCCCTACGGCTGGCCGCACTGCCCTCTGGAGAAGCCGCTGTGCTCATCACACACAGCATGGGAGCTATGCTCTCCTCTCCTAGGCTGGAGAGCTACAAAGCTGATCGGGAGTAACTCCGCGTGGGAGAGTTGTCTGTCTCCCTTCTTACTGGTATGGACTCACCACTACTGAGTTTATACTTTGGGTAATAAGCCAATACTACTTTGTTTTATTGCTCAACTTGTTCCGGCTCTGACCACTGAGAATCTTTCAGCTGAGGCCTGTGTCCCTCGGACACCCCCATGACTGCCTTTTGTTCTGTCTTGCTTGAGCAGGTCCTTACTTTCTGGCATCAAGATGTACCAGGCTCACTGGGTATATTCCCTGCTCCAGCCCTAAAATCAGCCATTTCCCCATGAAGTCCTGTTGCTGTCGGAAACCCAGATCTGGGCTTATTACACACATGATTCTGCTTTTGTTTTTCTTTAGAGAGCTTTCCATATCTAAACAAAAACATCAATTATATCACTTTAAACACCCAGCTCAACTTGTCACCTCCCATTAGGCCATGTAAAGGTGCCACAGTGGATGGTGTCCTGTATTTATGGGCAGGTCTTATGCCAGGCTAACTACATGCACCCTCTCATTTACCCCTCACAGTGGCGCAGGAATTACTATCCCCAACTTGTGTGGGGAAAATCAAAGCTGAGAGACAAGCTATCAGAGCAGGTCACACACCACGCCTGCAGCCGCAGTGTGAGGGATTCCATCTACGCTGCCCTGATGTCACTTGCCCACTTATATCCACCCTCTAAACACAAAAGCCACTTACAAGTACTGGTGAGATTTTTTGGAAGATTTACACCAGTCTGCACCAAACTGAGAACTGTAAGGAAAAACTTGTAATTAATCTTAGAGTTAAATTTAGTTCACTTTAAGGACTATCTTTTATTTCAAATTACATCTTTCTTATTTTTTATTGGTGTTAATAGTCCTTGCTTTATGAAAGAACAAGAGATAGGTGGGATTTTGTTTGGTTATTGTTGTTGTTATATTTAGTAAAATTAAAGTTGGTCACCCTGTAGCAACCCCCCCCCCCCCCCCCCCCGCACACACACACTCTGTTTTAAAAATTCAGCTCAGAAGTAAATGGCCTACAACAAAAACCTCAGTTTCTGAGAAAGCACACAAGGCAGCATTACACCAAACGGATTTTGAAAACAAACTCGTCAGGTTTATAATACAATTTCCTCTCCCAGACTGCCTCCCTGGGAGCCCCTATCAACTGGCAAACAACTGATTAGGAAAACCACACTTCAAAGTGTCTAAAACTTGGTTATAGAGTACTAGTGCCTGTTTAATAATACAGTGGGGCCTTGACTTACTCGTTTAATTCGTTCCGTGACGGAGCTCGTAACCCAAATTACTCGTATGTCAAATCAAAAACTGAACGAGTGAGACGTGTGATGCTGGGCTGATGCTGTGGCGTTCACTGTGACGTTTGCTGCGCCAACTAGCAGTGGGGTATCTGAAGCTGGCTCGTAACCCGAACTTTAGCTCGCAACTCAAAGCAAAAAATCGGCCAAGAGACGGCTCGTATCTCGAAAAACTCGTTAGTCGGGACACTCGTAAGTCAAGGCCCCACTGTATCTCTGAATGCTTTCATTTCTTAATTATTCCCCAAGGCAGCGACTGAAAATGGTACAAAGTCAGAAACAAAGACGCGCGTTATCCCAGCAGCAGACAGGAAGCACTGAGCTTGCCCACGGGTTTTGCTGAAAGGACTAAGACCTGAAAGGACTAAGACGACAAGGTCCCCGGCCCGCTCTCTCCAGCACCAGCACAAGTAGAGAAAACCTGAAGCCTTCTGTACCCACGTTTAAAAGCTGCCCTGCCTACTCCTCAGGGGCTGCTGTGCAGATCATAAAACAAAGACAAACAAAAGACATTCAGGAAAGTGCTCTGAAAATACTAAAATACTCTCCACTCAACTGTGGCAGAATCATGGGTATTGTATTCTGCAGACTGCTAATGGTCTTTGTTAATCATGGCTTCATAGAGGAAAATTCAAATATGCCACAACCACAAAAATCAGCTTTTAAGCCTTACTTCCTACTACATTTGCAGCCACTTAAGGTAAAAGTTACCAATGCTTCTAAGCTTGCATTTTAAGGACACAATTTGAAGGAATTATCAAGTGAAAAAGTCTTTGTTTTAAATTCATATCTACAGGCTCTCTCCATGGCTTTTAAAACATTAGTTGACTTCCATAATTATTTTGCCCTGTCGTTTAAAAAATAATAACAAATACAACAACTTAAGACAAATGCTATAGGCAACACGTCAAGTGAAGGGCTCTGAAAGAGGCCACTCCACACAGGAGTGATTTAACCCTCCAGCCAGGTGTTGATTTCCCACAGCAGCGTAACCTGAATACAGAATAATGTCAGGAGGGAGGAAATGAAAAGAAATACGTCACTCTATGCTTTAAATCCCAGTGTGAAAACACAACTAAGAAGCAGAAATGCTTATCTTCCAATATGACCACTTTCTACAAACTGAACCAAATTTAGTGTAAGGAGATAAATACACACCTTCACAATCCCCTACAAAATAAACACAGCAAATTTACTCAGCACAGTACCTGTATAGTGGCATAGTCTCTGTTATTACATCTTGTTTCCGTTGCAGGGTATGGCAATATCCTTCAGAGACAACAAATTCAAAGCCTGCCAGGAGGGCCATCCCAGAGGAAAGCAAGACAGCGGAGCAGGTGTCCCCATCACACCAAGCCCACTCTCCTTCAAACGCAAACCTGGTGCGCAGGGAGTCCTTCCAATGCGGCAAGGCATAGGTAAGCCCTCCCTGTGAAGACTGAAGACTACTCAACAAGGTTTTCTGAAAACAATACTTCTTTAGTAGTTTTTCGGTTCCACTTGTGCATTTTTAAAATGCAAGTCTTTAGCCGAAACCGGTTTGGCTCAGCGGGATGGAGCGTCGGCCTGCGGACTGAGGGGTCCCGGGTTCAGTTCCGGTCAGGGGCATGTACCTGGGTTGCGGGCACATCCCCAGTGGGAAGTGTGCAGGAGGCAGCTGATCGATGTTTCTCTTTCATTGATGTTTCTAACTCTCTATCTCTCTCCCTTCCTCTCTGTAAAAAATCAATAAAATATATATTTAAAAAAAATAAAAATAAAAAAAAAATAAAATGCAAGTCTTTAAAAGGGAAGGGAAAATTGTATAAACTGATTCTCAAGAAGAAAGGCAGCACCCGTCACTGTGGTAATTCCCTGTGTTTCCCTCTTCCCACAGCTAAAACCCTGGCATTTCTAGCCGCTAGATTCCTTTCAGGACAGCTTATTCCTACTGACAAATGTATTGCAAGTGTAAAGTAACTCCACATACCGCGAGTACAAGAGCAGAAAGAAATTAAAAGTACATGGAACCCAGAGGCTGAGGAAAACTCAGCAATCTGGTTTTACTGTATCTACTTCCTCTCTGGTCCTCAAAGGTTAACGTGAACGTATCTGTAGGTTTCACAGTTTTCCCTGCCTAAATGCAAATGTTCATGGCA